TCTAATAATTTCCCTTGGTCCTAATGGGTGATCTGGGGCAGGGGTAGGCAACCTAAGGCCCATGAGCCGGATGCGGCCCAATCGCCTTCTCAGTCTGGCCCACGGACGGTCCGGAAATCAGAGTTTTTTTACATGAGTAGAATGTGTGCTTTTATTTAAAATGCACCTCTGAGTTATTTGTGGGGCATAGGAATTCATTCATTTTTTCTCTTCAAAATATAGTCCGGCCCACGGCTGAAAAAGGTTGCTGACCCCTGATCTGGGACCAGGATGCCTTAAGGGCAGGCTTATACCCCATGAACATTCCCCCTTACATGCATAAGATTTTGAGGCCCTACTCCAGATTTCCTCGCTGTCTGATTTGTAGTGAATGACAATCCAAGACATGGCCTTATTGGTGGTGATGCCTAGATCATGGAACATATAGTTTTATGATAGCACACCTTGACCAGTGTGATCAGCAGTGTGCATAGCTGCATAGCTGCAGCAGAGAAGTTCACCAAGACCATTAGAGTCTTCTTACTCTCTAGTTGTTAGCCTTTTCACAGTTGACAGTTACGAAAACTCCTTGCCCATACAGTTCGGTGTAAGGTGTTTATTGTCTCAAGACACAATACAAGTCAAACACACTATACACATATGCTGGAGTGATACTACTAAGTACGGTTCTCTGGTCTTAGAGGTTAAACTGTAGACATCCAAATATACAGAGAGATCCACTCACTTAATCCAAACTCCTCACTTTTAACTGCTTGATGAATGCAGTCTTGGCTTTATAGGCTTTATAAGCATGCACACACATTCTTTTGGAGAAAGTGAGGATGGATAGATAACGCCAGAGGCCTGTAGCCTTGAGCTGTTTCTAATAGCCCACCACAGCTGGCATTCTTCCCTGAACAGAATTCAGATGTGGGGATAAGGCAAATATATTCCACCTTCCAGACCAAGCAGTTAGTGCAATTTTGCCCATACAGTATTTCCAAATTACACCAATGTGTAATTACCTCCTCCTTCCAAAGGAGGCTCACATGACTCCCTCACTAATGGGGTTCAGATGTCAAGTTTGATCCTGCAATTTTGGGGGGCATTTGAGATGGTGGGAAATAAACTCTCCCATTTTATGTCCTCATTCAGCCCTGTGATTTCTACTACTGCTCATGCTGTGACTGCAATGTTTGATTCTGTTTTAATATAGTTTGGTTGTTATATTGTAGTTAAGAGGCCTTGCAACATCAACTTGGATGGAAGGTGGAATCTTTTTTTTTTTAATAGGTAAATCAATTCTTCCCTTTATTTAATTATTGAGGAGCATTGCCAGAAGGTGCCAAACTAGGGTAGTAAAGTTCCTCAACTAGTAGATGGTGCAAAGAGAGGGATGCAACCTTAATTTATCACAAAAAAGTCAATTCAACTTTAATTTAAAACCTTCAATTTTGCCACCAATGACTGGCTTACTGTATTTTTCTGTGTATAAGACTAGGTTTTCCCCCTAAAAAATAATGTCCAAAATTTGGGGGCGTCTTATACATGGATAGATCTCCCCCCATTTTCTTAAATCGGAGTCCCCCGTCTTATACATGGGGGCGTCTTATAAACAGAAAAAATAAAATACGGTAATTGTAGCATTTTCCTCATTCTCTGTTTTTCTTAAGCCTCAGTGCTAATATGGAAGGGATGGGAGGACAGTATCAGTAGCTACCACTGGGAAGTCAGTTCTAAGAGCACCATATTCCTGGAGATGATGTAGGATTTTGTGTGGACTGTAAAAGCAGCATCATGGGCCATATGGGGAGACCCATGAGGGACCTGGAAAGAACACTGAATCTTCATATTTGACACCTGTTCATTGCACCAGTAGCTGAAATTCAGTGTGGATCCACAGCACTATTTGTCAGTTTCCATGTGTCTTTTGTGGTTATCCCTGTTGGGCATTGATATGCTGCCAGATACTGTGAATTGCTCAAAATGCCTATGGCATGAATTCAAACTGTGGGCCAACATTAATCCAGCTAGCTGACTGCTCACCTGTTCTCCTGTAACCTGGGCATATATTATTGTGTTGGATGAACAATTCACCAAACTGGGATGCAATCTTCAAATGCTGGCAAAATAAATTCCCCAACCCCCAATAAAAGATAATTTGAGGAGTGTATTGCTGAGAACATCAAATTTATTTAAATACAGAAGCAGGAAATTAGCCAGGAAATTGGTTAAATGCCAAAGATGTTAAAGGTTTAGCAAAGGAGGCATGGGAAATTGCAGAAAAGTTTAATTGTTTGCATCTCTATTCACTATGGAATATTTAATTATGTAGTTACATATTTATTAGTTCAATTTTATAACTCATCCTTCCTTCCCAAAGGGGGCCTAGGCTGGCTCACAATAGTAAATTTACATTAAAGTGTTTTAAAACAATACTGTAACATATTTCAGTCAACAGTTAACATCAGCTTTATAAGAACTTCATAAAACTCTTTGGCCTGGATTAACAATAAGTCTACATGCTTGCTGAATGCAGCTAAAGAGAGGGATCCCTTCGGAGGGAATTCCATAGCCAGGATGCTGCCACTGAGAGTGCCCTGTTTTAGGTCCTATGAGTAGAATCTCTTCCACAGCTTACAAATTTCAAGAGGTCTCAATGTATTGATGAAAATGCCAAGTACCGTACTTGTTTCCACAGTCATGTGAGGTTATATTATCTGCTGCTAGTACAGTGGTACCTCGGGTTACAGACACTTCAGGTTACAGACACTTCAGGTTACAGACTCCGCTAACCCAGAAATAGTACCTCGGGTTAAGAACTTTGCTTCAGGATGAGAACACAAATCACACAGCGGCAGCAGCGGGAGGCCCCATTAGCTAAAGTGGTGCTTCAGGTTAAGAACAGTTTCAGGTTAAGAACGGACCTCCAGAACGAAATAAGTTCTTAACCTTGAGGTATCACTGTACTGGTGTTTTGAATTGGCCCCAGTAACTCACAAATAGCCAGCGGTGTGGCTTAAGGAAAGGAGATAATATGATATTCTCTTGTTACACCATAAAAGGTAAAGGACCCTTGGACGGTTAAATCCAGTCAAAGGTGACTATGGAGTGCGGCACTCATCTCACTTTCAGGCCAAGGGAGCCAGCATTTATCCACAGACAGCTTTCCGGGTCATGTGGCCAGCATGACTAAACCGCTTCTGGTGCAATGGGACACCGTGATGGAAACCAGAACACATGGAAACACCATTGGTAACTTTTGGACTGTCTTCAAGGATAGTCCCATGTAAAAGGTGCTGCAGTCATCTATCCAGGAGATTATTAGATCATGGACCACTGAAAACAAGCTCTCATTCAAGGAATTGCTGTAGCTGGTGAACCAACCGGAGCTGTTCAATACTTAACATCTGAAACACTGTTATGAGGAATAATGTCTGAAGGTTTAATTGACAAGAAAGGGATTCAGGAGTGAGCAAGGAAATCACCTTTTTCCTGTTCCAGGTGAACTGTAGAAAGTGTTATTCAATTTTAATGTTTAATAATTATGTTTTGTATAGGACGGGGTGGCGCTGTGGGTAAAGCCTCAGTGCCTAGGACTTGCCGATCGCATGGTCGGCGGTTCGAATCCCCGCGGCGGGGTGCGCTCCCGTCGTTCGGTCCCAGCGCCTGCCAACCTAGCAGTTCGAAAGCACCCCCGGGTGCAAGTAGATAAATAGGGACCGCTTACCAGCGGGAAGGTAAATGGCGTTCCGTGTGCTGCGCTGGCTCGCCAGAGCAGCGATGTCACGCTGGCCACGTGACCCGGAAGTGTCTGCGGACAGCGCTGGCTCCCGGCCTCTTAAGTGAGATGGGCGCACAACCCTAGAGTCTGTCAAGACTGGCCCGTACGGGCAGGGGTACCTTTACCTTTAATTATGTTTTGTAACATACAGATGGAGCGGTTAAGCTTTGACCCTCCAGGTATAGTTGGACTCCCTACTCTCACCATTCCTGACCATTGACTCTGTTGGCTGGGGCTAATGGGAGTTGGGATCTCTGGAGAAGGCCGGATCTGGAGTTTAGCCATGTCTGATACAGGAGAGCAAACCTTAATGTAAGTATTAGCATGCTCTCTTCCAACTCTATGATTCTATTAACCCCTTACCCCTTTCAAATCTCTTTGAGAAAGTAGCAAGTGAAGAACAGGAAACAGAGGCCAAGCAGAGTTTCAAAAATATAGGGAAATAAGGGGGGGGGGTTTCCCAAAGATAAATTTGGGGACTGTTGCTATTTGAGATTCATAAATGCTCTTGAGTTAGGAGTGAGCAGCCAGGATGGGGTTTGTAATCCAAAGCATCTGAAGGGAACCATTGATCTTCAACTAGTGGAGAGGGACTCACTACTAGCTTGCGGTCTGATCCGGGATGGGTTGTGAGCAGTCAGACATACAAGTATGTGGTTCAAAAAAATAAGATATGGGTCCCCAAATGCATGTTTGGGTTAGAACTAGATCCTAGTTTTCAAAACCTTGAAGACTCGTGTTCTAAGCCTCACTTTGGAGACACACGCAAACCTCCATGCCCATTCCTGTGTGGAATGTAATCATTATTTTACTATTTTAGATTACCATTTTAAATAGTACCCCCCAATCTCTCGTTCTGTACTGAATTCCGGGCCTCTTGGATCTATCTCTTTAGTATAGTGGTGTAAGCGTGAATGACAAGACTAATAATCTCACCCCCGCTCTTGCTGGGCCCAGTAGCAGGTGTCCCAATACTTTCACTGAATGCCACCTTCTCCCCCCCCCAAAAAAATTTATCAACAATCTTCCTTCAACAATGATTTATTATTGGCATAATTTGCCTTGGTACAATGAGCCAGCGAACATATTTCTGCACCCGGGTGACAGCCAGTTGATGGCTCTCCAGGCTCCTGTTTTATTTAGTGTTGAACCTCATATGATTTGGTTACATTTCTTCCCCCCTCCCGCTTCTCCCTCCGCCCCCCACCTCCCATCCTCCCCACCCAACCTTTTCTCATTTTGTTTTGTTTTGTATGAGTGTGTGTTTCGCATAACCCTGGGCCGGCTGACAGCGCTTGTAAAAACCAGAAGTCGATCTTGCCGTGGCTTTTCACCATTAATCAAGCTGCCTGGAATTGGAAAGTAACACTGACAGGCTTTTATCTTGGAGAGAAGGAGGATGGCAGATGTATTTTATGGTGGATGAGCCTTCACAGCTTCTATTAGGCTGGGACTTCAGTGGTACAAGGTGGTGGTTTGAAAGAAAGGTTGGGGGGGGGAGAGACAGAGAGAGAGAGAGAGAAGGGAAGAAGGGACGTGGAGGTTTGGAAAGGGGGACGTGTGGTGGGGGAGACCAGCCGGGAGAAGCAGGGAGAGGCCTATAGATAAATAGATCCGTCAGTCAGGCGATGTGAAGGTCTCTAGGCGGCCAGCCATTGTAGGTGACAGAAAAGGCAATCAAAGACAAAACAAATCAAAAGGTACATCTTATCAGCAGCAGGCCAGCTGGACTTCCACAGCACTCACAGGCCCTGCGGAGGGCAGGAGAAATTAATCGTGCTGTCGAGGCCAGAGAAATTGTCGCCGCTGAAGGTCCAAGTTCAGGCAAGCAGAGGTGGCCAACATTAAAGGAGAAAGAGAAGCGGGGGTGGTGGTGGTGGTGGGTGTTGTGGGGGAGAGGAGAGAGAGAAAGCGAGTGGTGCTGTCCCACCAGCTCCCTCCTTCCTCTCCCACCCCCCTCCACCGGCCGCCTCGCTCTCCTGACAAGTGCATTCATCGTGAGATGATAGCTGGGCACCTATGATTGGTACCTTTAATAATATAGCCCTCGCTCAGCTGTCACCCTGAAAGAACAATTTTTCCTCCCGCTTTCCTCGATGCAAAGATACATTCATAATGAGAAGTGTGACAGAAAGTGGGAGCGCAGGGAGCCAGGGAAAGTTTGGAAGAGCATTAATCAAAAAGTGGAGCCGGGGGTGATGGCGGCTGCCGGGAGCGACAGTGCCATCAATATGGGGTTTGTGGATGGTGTGCGGACCTTTGGGTTGAAACTTCCTGTTACGTTTGAGCCACCTCAAAGTGAGGATGCTCTCACAGTGGGGGAGGAGTGACTTTCTCCTTCCTTCCTTCCTTCCATCCATCCCACAGAAACATCAACTTTAGAAACTTCATTTTTCTTCTTTTGTGATCAGAGCCATACTCAGTGAGCTTAAAGCTTATGCTTTCATCTCATTGTGAAATCACAGAAACTCAATGTGTACCATTGGACTATGAGCATAATCTAATCCTTACAGCTACCCCTTTCTCCATTTTCCTGTTTTATGGGGGCAAGGAGTGTCCTCCAGGAAAGGTGCCTTCTATCCCCAGAGTCTCCATTTTCTTAATCCAGAGCTTTCCAGACTTTTCACGTTGGTGACACACTTTTTAGACATGCACCATTTCGCGATGCAGTTTTACTAGCAAACTCAAGGTTAAACTAACCCCTTTCCAGGCCCAAGAGGAGTGCGGGGAGTGTTCGTGCAACACACCAACACACTAACATGTCGTGACACACAGTTTGGAAAGCTCTGTCTTAATTCCTTCTTGTTTCACCCCTTCCATAAATGTTGGTTCAGAAGTTATGGGCCAACTTGTAAGGTAACCCTTTGTCACGTCATTCCCATGGAAATGAGTGCAATGATGGGTGCACAGATCCATAGTCAAGAGTACTTCATCCTCGCAGTGACATTATGACAAATGCAGGTTGTGCAGTGTTATTCTTATTGTTGGGGTCTGCCTCAAATATTGCCATTATATTTTCCTCGCTCTGTTAAATTGAACCAGAATCCAGCCAGCATTATGCATGTTAGGATCCTATTGATTTAAATGGCAGAGTTAAGCACATTCTTAGTTGGCTCCCATAGAAATACATGGAGCTTAGAGCACAATCTCTGCATGTTTATATGTGTTTGTGTTTATAGTCGGACATGGGACTTACTCCCATATAAACATGCATAAGATTGCAGTTTAACTTTGCTTGGCTCATGTACTTGACATTTCTTCTACAGTGCTACTGTCTCTGTTACGGATCCAGTGAAATAGTCTATAAATCGTAAACTACAATAAAATGGTTAATTTTTAAAGTGCCACAGAATTCCGATTTTTTGCCACAACAGACTAATACTGTTCCTTTTCTGGAACAGACCAAGAGTGACATTGTCATTTTCCATGTTGCCATATATATTCTTTTATAGATTAGTGCTGAACTAAGAGGTTGTATTGTGTCATCTGACACATCAGCCTGTTTTTTTGTTGGCTGGTGTATCCAGGATTACCTTAATGTATTTAGAATTTTCTGCTGCCTTCATTCCACTCTTGAAGTACTGAGATCTTGTAGAGAGATTTACATGCAATATCAGTGATAGGAAGATCACATTCCTGCAGCCTCAGATTACTATGGAGAGAATGACATATGTCCACATGACTCGTATGCTTTGTGGATGTAATGTTTGCTATTCAAATTATTATCTAGAAAGAGCTCAAGACTGACTCACATAATGTTAAGCAGGAACTAGTAAAGCTGCTTTCATATATTAATGCTTAAGAGAGTGAGCAAGCTTGGTCTATAGCTTGGTTCTACCATGTCAGAGCATTTTCTGATCAGCTGCAGCTCGGTAGTAAAGCATGTCTCCAGTCCTGAAACCCTGGAGAGTTGTTGCCAGTCATTGCAGCAGACCCTCCAAGCGTTGCTATTTTCCAGGGACGTCCCTGATTTAGAGAAGCTGTCCCGGTTTCTGATTCCATCCCAGAATGGCCCACTTTTCCTTAGGACAGGGGTCAGCAAACTTTTTCAGCAGGGGGCCAGTCCACTGCCCCTCAGACCTTGCGGGGGGCCGGACTATACTTTGAAGGGGGGAAAGAACGAATTCCTATGCCCCACAAATAACCCAGAGATGCATTTTAAATAAAAGGACACATCCTACTCATTTAAAAACTTGCCGATTCCTGGACCGTCCGTGGACCGGATTTAGAAGGCGATTGGACTGCATTCGGCCCCTGGGCCTTAGTTTGCCTACCCATGCCTTAGGATGTCCCTATTTTCATTGGAAAAATGTTGCAGGGTATGGCATTATCCAACCCCCGAGCTGTCTGAAGGCAATCCTGCATAGGGAAGTTTTTTTTAATGTTTAATGTTTTATTATGTTTTTATATATGTTGGAAGCTGCCCAGAGGGGCTGGGGCAACCCAATAAGATATGTGGGGCATAAATAGTAAAGTTATCATTATGGAATGGGACGTCCCTGTTTTCATTGGAGAAATGTTGGAGGGTATGGTCCACATATAGAATATCTGTCTCTTGTTTTATAATAACTCATTAAGAATAGAGGAAGGCGGAGGGGAGAGTCGCGCCCCCTCAAAAAATGCCCCCAGCCCCCCACGCTACTCCACTGTCTGTGTGCACAATGGAACTTCTTCCTCACCTGCCCCCTCCAACCTCTAGGTGGCCTCAAAACCAGCTTTTCCCAAACTGTGTTCTTAAAAGCCATGGGCCTCATTGGAAATTTATCAGGGGATTCTTCACTGGTGAGATCTGTACTGGTAGACAAGTTATATTGAAATAAAGTTTTCTCACCACTACTGATTTTCCCCTGAGTGGGCAGCTCTAGAAGACAACTGGACCACTGCCCATTTACTGGAGGCAACGGTTGAGCTCAACTGGACTTGACAGTGCTCTGAGCAGGGCACACAGTACATGCCCCACAATCCTGTGCAGGAATTTTGTGGCTGGTGAGAAGGTATAAAAGTAATTGCTGAAAGTTGCTGAATTTTTGAAAACCACTGCTTAAAAATCGAATAGAAGACTGACAATGTGCTTTGCCCTCCCTCCATTCCCCACCCAAACACCTTTGCAATGTAAGAGGAGATAAATAAATACACAGCCAAGATACCTAAATGGACATGTTTGCAGGACCTTTTCATCTTCCGGTCACTGCCCTATAATACAGTACTTTCTCAAAAGAAAAGCAGGGAAATACGGTGTCAGAATCCTCTAGTTGTTGCTGTTTCTTGGATAGCTTTCCATAAGTATCTTCCAAGCACCAGCACTTTCCATCTGTAAAATGGAAACGTGTGTGTGTGTGTGTGTGTGTGTGTGTGAAATGATGAACAAGATAAGGAGATGTTGTTGCTTCAGCCTCAGGCCGAGAATCCAATTAAACAATGATGTTCTCAGTCCCTGGCTTCTGGTGTTCACGTCCCCAGTTTTCCTAACAGACTTGGAGTTTATGCTGTGGGTAATGACAAATCATCAATCACCCTCATAAGCTGACACTGAGAGGGCCCTGGCAACATCAGAATCTAGTGTTATTTCAGTATGTAACACAGGTTTGCATTTTTAAAGGCTGAAAATTAAGTAGGGCTGATATGGTCTACATTTGGCTGCCCAGTGCTGTTACTGTGGCATGACTAAAGGTGATAAAAGAGGGTGCTGTTCTCCAAAGCAGTAAAACTCTTGCTGGTAACCTGTCACATCCTTGTATGCACCTGAGTTAAATTCCTAACGTTTACATACAAACTGCCAATCCTGTCCCAATAAGCCTCTTTCTGCCTTGAACCATCACCACAAGACAAGCTTTCCTTATTAGGGAGGGATCTAACGGCCACCCCAATCCAATTAGTCCAGTAGAGGGGGCTGGATGCCATAGTCCTTTGCCCCAATGCAAGGAAGTGACATGTGTGAGTAATGAAAGGACGGATGGGACAAAGTTTGCTTTCTGATTTTTTCACAAATCCTACTGCTGAAGAAACAAGCTGATCCATTTAAACAGCTACTAGTCTCTTCAGCAGGAGTAAGAAGAATAGAAGCAAACACAAGAAAACACACAGCTCCAGTTTAATGCAGCATTCTTTCTCCACTTGTTGCACTGTGTGGATCCCAGCTTATATTAGGGATCAATACAAAACGCCTCGGCTTTCTGACCCCTTTCCTCTTCCAAGTGCCCTCCCCAAGGAGAAACCAGTATAGTCTTTCTTTTAAAGTCAAATTTATTACTTTAAAAAAAGAACAAAAAAAACCTTTTAGCATTGTGGCATCACAATAAAGGAGGCTGCATGGGACAGTTTGGTGCAGTATTTAAAAAATAGGATTTTAAAAAATAACCAAACGTGTGTGTGTATAAGGGAAGAAAACCCCTTCCCAAATGTGTTAGCCACCCCTGGCATATGGTATTGTTTCCTAACTCTAATTGTTCCCTATCTTGCAGACATCTCTGGTTCTTTACTTGTCACTGTTCTCTTTATTGTACAACATGTCTTAGGGATGATGCATAAGGTGGGTCAGTCTGGTCTGCACATACACACACCTGTGGTGCTGTGGTCTAAACCAGAGTCTCTTGGGCTTGTTGATCAGTAGGTCGGTGGTTCAAATCCACGTGAGGGGGTGAGCTCCTGTTGCTCTGTCCCAGCTTCTGCCAACCTAGCAGTTTGAAAGCACACCAGTGCAAGTGGATAAATAGGTACCACTGTGGAGGGAAGGTAAACAGTGTTTCAGTGCACTCTGGCACTTGTCACGGTCCTCCGTGCACCAGTAGCAGTTTAGTCATGCTGGCCACATGACCTGGAAAGCTGTCTGTGGACAAACAGTGGCTCCCTCGGCCTGAAGTGAGATGAGCGCTGCACCCCAGCCACCTTTGACTGGACTTAAGTATCCAGGGGTCCTTTACCTTTTTACCTTACCTTACTGCACCAAAAAAGGCAGGGCACAAATTGAGCAAGTGAAATAAAAGCCTACCTGGGTGCAGTAGAAAGCATTTGACCATGGTGGCCAGTGTTCACTGGGATTGATAGGACAGAAGGCAGAGAGTTCAACAAGGTGGAGCCACAGCCAATGATAGGCAGAGCCAACTAGTACAAGTATTGCCGCCACCATCCTCCTCCCTACTGAGCTATTACGAGGACAGCTCTGGGAATAAGGAAGAGGATGCTGGGAGCCAGTGCCACTCCCTAGACTGGATGAGAAGGCAGGCGGGAGTGGGCTGGCTGAAGGCAGACCAAGATTGGTGCCCCATTTACCCAAATGAACCAGCCTCCACTGTGTTTAGATGATTATTATCCAAACAGCCAGCTTTACAAACTCCACTAAACGCAATAGGCATGGATTCCAAAAGTGCCTCCAAGTGATCAGAAAGGCACTTCTGCTTGTATTTAGGGAGGTCCTGAATTTCTGCCAGTAAAATGTCCCAGTCTGTGCCAATCATCTGTGTTTGGTTTATGTGTGTGTGTGTGTGTGTGTGTGTGTGTGTACTAGGAGTCTGCAAGAGGAAGTGTTCTTTGCTTACAGAGGTTGGGATCCAAACCAGTGTGTGAACACTGTCTAAAAGATAAATCAAACCTGTCACAAATTTTTGTCCCTGCTATGCTTAAATGCAGGATCAGATTTGGATAGCAGAGCCGAATTTTGAACAATTTAATTTTGCATATTAATATATAATTTTGCAAACCTTTTATGGTAACCTGCACTTTTGTTGTAGCTTCTCTCTCTCTCTCTCTCTCTCTCTCTCTCTCTCTCTCTCTCGGTAAGGCTGAAACACTTCTTCTGCATTTTTAACCTTTGGAAGAATGAGAGTGACCTGAAGTGCCTCGAAAAGCTTTTACATTAACAAAAACATCAAGCATGGGGAGAATGCAATTTCAGCACTTCATATTGATATGGATGCAATCATCCTTCAAGCTGCTTTGCCAGTGCACACTGTGCCATTTGCATAGGGGGCACGTACACTGGATTTATGTGTAGTCACTTCCTTAGGGCCGTATCCCAGTAATGACGAGACCCACAACCTGAAGGGAAATCACCACTGCTGAGCTTATAATATTCAACTGGTTCCTGCAGCTCCCACCCACCCCGGGTTTAATATTAGAACTATTTTTCACACCGAAACTGAAATAGTACAAAATATGGGCCTGCTGTAATTGTTGTTAGATTATGTGTCACCCTGATAAGATGTAACAAATATTTTCCTACCCTGCAGGGCCCGTTTCTCTGTGGTTAATGGATGGAGAAACTTCTCATAGTCTGCAGGCAATCGGTCGTAAAAACTTCGCTCTGAAGATTAATGCAATAAGTGCAGCACTTCTGGAAAATGGGCAGAGCTGAATTAAAATAATGCAGTTATTTTTTTCCAGATTTAATAAGAAACCTTAAGCAACCGAGATGGGATTTCCCCCTCTGCTAGATCATCGTGTCCTCCATATAGAAGAACACTCTTATTTCGATTGATTTTAAAGGAGAATTACAGCTATAGTGCATGGTGCTGTTATTCTTTCAATTGAACTGTTTATCAGTTATATGACGGCCATTTTCATGGGCAAAGCTTTGACACCAGTAATTCTGATGGGAATCACTTAATAGACCAGATAAACATTCAGGTACAATTTAGCATTCAATGGTTGTTGTTGTTTTAATCCTTTATATTACAGCTTGGTTGGTTTTCCTGGATTTTTAAAAAATACCTGCTCTTTATGAAGCATGGTGCCTGTCTCTTTGCAAACTGTTCCACAATAAAATAAAATATATGGAATGGAATCAAATAGAAGCAAAATCTGATGCCACCATCTAGCCCTTGTGCTGCCTACCCAAAGCTGGCTAAGTGAAGTGCTGGGCTTTGGGAAGGAGGCGTGAGTACGGTTGCCACATGTCCAGGATTTCTCAGACATATCTGGAATACTGCAGTTGGCAGCAGTGTAGGAAATAGGAAAAATGTCTGGGAAAATCCGGACATACTGCAGCCCATGTCGGCAGTGCTGTTTTTGCCGATTTCCCATAAAAATAGATCAAAAACTGCTAATTTTGCTCAACAACTTTTCTGTCTGAATTTTCAGTTTGAAATATGGCACCCCTAGGTGTGAGACTCTGGCAGGGTCCTAGATCCCTCACACACCTCCTTCCCAAACCCAGTGCCTCTTTACCCGCCTTTGGGAAAGCAGCACAAAGGCTGCAGAGGGGAAGGGTGTTGTCAAATGTTTCTGAGGGCTGCCGAGAAAGGCTTTGAGGGCTGCATGGTATACAAATTTAATTACTACTGCTGCTGCTAATGCTGAACAGCCCTGCTCTAGCGCAATAATCTCCGCTTGCACAATGGAACTTCCCTCTCTCCTCACGAGGGTCAGAGGGAGATCCCAGGTGCTCATTGTACCTGTTTGCAGGTTCTGTATTTAACAACTTTGCTATACCAAAACACACGCTTGCTTGTTTCCAAGCCAGTTCAAGGTACCTTTAAAGCCCTAAATGGCTCAGGCCCAGACCTTCTAAAATAATTTCTCCTATAATTGCATTTATATAATTGTTTTTTTACGCTGTGTAGATAACATTTGTGTTGTATTTTGTAAACCACCTTTTTTTCTGATGAGGGGTGGTATATAAATTGAATACACAAAGAAACAAAAACCTCCCTAAGATCCGATTATGAATTTCAAATACGTTACTTGTGTGTGTGGTCCAACAAGCAAATGAAATCTGATTTATAAATGACTCACACATCTGACTGATGCAGAAAGGGAAACTTATATGACCTTTTTTTCTTAAGAAAAATTAATCCTTATTTTATGGGGAAGGAGCAGGTGATGTTCAAGTCCCTCTCTTCGTACTGTACTTAGATATCCAAGTGACTTGTGCATGTACTTTTTGTTTTAGGACACATGAAAAGTTTTGAGAAAAGTACTTTGCTCTGGGAATCTCCATGTACCATGAATAATTATGGTGAATCAGTTCAACTTCTCAGGCAGGGGCATTCTTTTTAAAAAGCAGTAAAATAGATCACAATAGTATCATAAGTGACAAATTTACAGGAACCCCACCATATTCAGAAGCAGATGATTTACGTAAGAGTTGTTCAGAGCAAACAGACTTCAATACACTGTAGTTTTTCTGGCGAGGATTTTTTTTACTGCAGTTTATTTTCACTATAATTCATTACAAATTTGATCTGCTGCCATTTAGCTTTAGCTGCATGAGGAAGGATCAGGGGCAGATGACTTGATCATAAGAAACCATTAGAGCTGTATGACAAATGAAAGGGGGATAGCCAATGGTGATTGTCCTCTGCCTGTAGGAAATCCATCAGCAGAATGAGGCAATTTTTAGCTATTGCCATCAAAATCCTATACTCCCCCTTATTTCTGCTCTGGAGAGTCCCTCAACCTTTTGCTGAAGTTTTATAGGGGGCATGGAGTGCTGCAAAGGGAAGGAGAGATTGCCAAAAATAGCCTCCCACTTTGTTCCATCTGGGAACACTCACCATTGGGTACTGGTTGTTATATTTTTGATATAAAGAATGCATTAGGTTCTCAAAGGGCTTAGCTGGCAAAGCCTGATTAGAAGCACTGCTAGTTGCATCAGAGAGGTCCACACAGACCTCAGTTTGGTACATTCAGCAGCAGCACACACATCACAGAGGCTTGCATTCTTCTGTTTAGAATGAACTGTGTGTGTCATAAACTTCACAATTTTGTTACATTCAAAATAGTAAACGAAGTTCAGTTTTAATTTGCATTTGCATACATTGTACCAATCATTATTGTTGTGAAGGTTAGCTTAGTGAAAGACACACAAAGCAACAACTATGGAGAAGAAAGTGTAGAGTGTGTAAGAATTCTTCCGTTTCCATCAATGCCAAGGTTTTTGAAGTTACTGGCTATAATCCAACACGGGTTTGGGCGTAAATGTGTTTAGCAAACTGTTGCTTGCAATCATGTTAAAAGGTAAAGGTAAAGGTACCCCTGCCCGTACGGGCCAGTCTTGACAGACTCTAGGGTTGTGCGCCCATCTCACTCAAGAGGCCGGGGGCCAGCGCTGTCCGGAGACACTTCCGGGTCACGTGGCCAGCGTGACAAGCTGCATCTGGTGAGCCAGAGCCGCACACGGAAACGCCGTTTACCTTCCCGCTAGTAAGCGGTCCCTATTTATCTACTTGCACCCGGGGGTGCTTTCGAACTGCTAGGTTGGCAGGCGCTGGGACCGAACAACGGGAGCGCACCCCGCCGCAGGGATTCAAACCGCCGACCTTTCGATCGGCAAGCCCTAGGCGCTGAGGCTTTTACCCACAGCGCCACCCGCGTCCCACTGCAATCATGTTAGAAAACAACAATTTGAGTGAAAAGTTGTATAACTATGAAACACATTGTATAAACTTCATGGAGCGGTATTAGATCTCTAAAGGAATTTTGGGTTGCAGCGGCTAAACATGGCCCACTAGTGCAAGGCCCCTCAAGCTATCTGTGCTCTGTAAGCATCATTCTGTGATGCTGCTGGTCTCTACTCAAGTCACACTGAGAAGGAGCAGGGGTTAGAATTAAAGGCTCATTTGTTCCCCACCAACTCTAATTCCAGACAGACATACTCAGTGCTTGTTCCAAGACTGGACACCAGAGTGTTTACTCTTTCTAGACAAGATCAGTCTTTTAAATAGCTGTCCAGGAGGCAATCTACCCTATCACAGCTCCACTTGCCCTGCTCTTCCATGCTTCCTCTCCCCTGGTGCTACCGTACTTGAACTGTCTGTCCTGGAAACTGTCACCCATGCGTCTGCCATATTCCTGTAATTAATACAGCACAGATATTTAAGACTATACATGCGGGTGTATTTCCTCTTACACGGGCAGGTACATGTACAGTTTGCCACCTGGGAGAGTGACAAACTGTGCTACATCCAAGTTTGGTTATTCAGCAATTTAACTTGGAGAATTTGGCCCACCTCTCCAAAACCAAGCAAAAGCCTAGAATCCAAGTGAATGCACCTTCAAGTTTTCATTCCCGAGAACAGCATCACTTTTACTGGGTTATCCATCCTCTGTTGACAAGGTTTGAGGGACACTCCAAAACACCATTAGTCTGTCAAACTTAAAACATTTTAAAAACGAGTTCACATTTATTTTTAAACAAAACCAACAATGAAAATAAATTGTCTTTTCTAAGCAACTTAGCAATCAAATCTAGAAGAGGAATATAAGGGCATGCCAGCCTGCATCTATTTCATATAGGCACTCAATATATGAAACAAGAAGATACTACAGACATCGAGATGATTTCATTCCCTCTCGGTGAACTAAGAACAAAGGAAATGCTTCTTCTTGCTACAAAACAGTATTGTGATATTTAAGAACTTTTCTGTTCCAGTGAAAGTTAAAACTTGGAGAATGTTAAAAGAGGCTCTGAGGACTAGAAAGGCTAACAAACTTCTTCACTTCATGTATTTCTCCTGTTGATCCGCCAGTATTTTTGCCGAGGATTTGGCATCATAGAAGAGTTCATTTATTTCTTCAACTTGTTCCTTTTCTATGCTGTCTTTCCCATTTATCTTGGCTAGCAGATTGGCCGGTGTGAGTAACTGCACAGCGTACCTATGGCCAAATAATAAGAGCATGTGTCAAATTAACATGCCAGCTACAAAGTAGAACAGAGAAAACTCCTCCAAAGAGACACTTACAGAAATATTCCACAGGGTGAATAAATGAACCTAGCTTCCAGAAATGTCCAATGCACCTTATAGCTGGGGAAATTAAACATTTAAGCCAAGAGCCGAAGAGGCACTTAAAGCACACCCACCAACTTGACTCTTCCCACTTTGAGCAGTGATGCCACCTCCCATACCAGATGAAAAAACATGCATTTCAAAAGCTATTTGTGATGTGGAAATGAAGCTGTGGTTTGAGAAACACAACTTCATATTGCACAGAAATGAGTGCAGTTCTTTAGACCCCGGTCCCCCTGGTGACATTCATAATAGTACTAGAATCTACTTTCAGGACTCCTCATTGCCTTGCAAGGAAGTTGTAGAATCTGCCGGCCACACTTTGCACATGAATCTATTATATATCCTGCTAGGATTGTTACAGAACTCTATTGCAATGGCTATTTTCATGTGGTCTGGAACTTACTAACTCTTGCAAAAATGTCGCTAGCCTTGAAAGTGGGTAGAATCAATTTTGCCAGCCATCAATGGGTGGCTGCAAAAGACATTGGGCTCCCATGTCCAAAATTACTGAATGTATCAACCTGCAAAAATGGCAAGGAGCAGTCAAACAGTTTAATAGTACTATGCAGTCCATTAAAATGACCAATCATTATCATATCACTATTAATTTCTGCAAAGGATTTTCACTACTATAATTTAGCTTGTCTGTAAGTTATGTATATGCAAGTATTTCTTAGGTTAATAAAGAGGAACCACCTTTGAATGAAATTGAATGTCATGAATAAAAGTGGATTATGCAATACTGATGGAACTCTGAGCTTCATCATTCAAGCAAATTAGTATTTCACCAGAAATCCACAATGACCTGCTGGTTACCCCCTAGCTACCTGTTTCTGCCCATCTTCATACCATTTCCAAAACCAGTCATTATCTGACATTTATAGTCAACATGCTTACCTTAATGTTGTTTTGGTGCCTATTTCTCCAAGATGATTCAGTGCCTCCTCACTAATATTAATACTCTCTGTCTGGGCACGAAGCTTTATGATCTAAAGCAGAAAAATATATATAACACAGTTTGGACTTTAAAAAATGCATTTCTTAAAACTGTGTACACACCTTAGCATCACATGCAAACCATATACAGTATAAAACATAGTTTAAACACGGGCTGGTTTATTTTAACATTTGCTTTCACTGCATCCAATTTAGAACTGCAACACAGTCAGGGATCCTTTCGGGTTGCAAATGGAATAATATTTGGGAGCATTCATCAAGAACCTTTGTAACTGCTAAACTATGAGAATGATATGGAATATACATATAGTGACCTACAGAATCACAGATCATCAGTACCCCACCTGGAATAAATCTTCAGAACAATTTGCTTGGAAAGTCTCAACTGTCCTTTAGTTGCTCAAATGCATGCCAGACATTTTAGCCTCTTGACAAATAAGACGGTAAAATAAATAAATAAGTAAGTTTCTCTGCAAGGTTCACCTACTCCCACAAAACCTCTCAGATAAATCTAATCTATCAGGAACAGTCTCCAGCTTGTACCAGTTTGAAGATCTTTGTAAAGTTGAAGAAGAAGATATCACCAATAAGCCTGAGCACATAGAGCTGTAACAAAAGTGGCACCAGGCTCCCTGCAGTCCGTATTACCAGCTGAGTGATAAGGGGCAGACTGGATAATGATGTTGTGTTGTAGTGTTGAGATAACTCTGGAACTGCGAGTCTCATATAATGCAGGTATTTTTCACTTTGGCAGCTTTGTAAACAAGATATCAAGAAGCACTCGTTTAAATTAAAGCCATAAAAATGCACCAAGGGAATCAGAGTGCGGAAGAGGGGGAAGGGGGATGAGCACAGAATTGGGGCTTCACGTACCAGGCAGCTAGTTTAAGGAACATTAGAATTTGAAGTTGCTCTTGGGAGTGTTCAAATTTGACCAAAATATTAAGGCTAATACTTCATTTTGTTTATTAAAATATTTAGACTGCACCTCATACAAAACTACCAGATGGTGTTCAACAAAATTTACAAAAAAACCTACCCATGAAAACAATACGGATAATCATAAAATGACTCGTTCATCTTAAATAGTTTAAATCATACTGAACAGGCCTGGTGACATAAATAAAAGTCTTCCACCTGCTAGAAATGTATTCCACAGCAGGGGACTGGCAACACTAAATGCCTGACTTCCAGCTGAAGCTAGTCAGGCTTCTGAAACACAAGGAGACAATTAACAGCGCTCCTACAGAAAAATGTGAATTTACAAGTATAATGTATATGTAATATTATGTAAACATTTTGTGTATGTATTGAGATATCAATAAATCAATAAAGAAAAAAAGAAAAGAAAAAACAGTGCTCCTATAAATGGTCTCAGTCATCAAATTTGAATATAAGTACACCAGACAAATCCCCCCACCAATATGGAGCTTCTAGCTGATTTTCAACTTGGCTGTGATCCGAAGAACTGTGTGCCCAAGTTGGCTTTGGAGTTGTGTTTCTTGATCAGCAACCCACAATATATCATGTCAAGTCATAAAAATGGCTGATGATTAGGTACTGGGTCAGGATAAATCAGAAGTCCTTTGAATGTGCACAGGCCCTTGAATGAACCTGAACTAAAATCTCTCTTTGGCTCCCAACCCTTAAACCACTGCAACTGAGATAAAGACTAAACCTGAATATAATTTTTAAAGGCCTGTGTAATACTTTCTTCTTTGGAAAAACAGATAAAGAATACACAATCCAGTAAATCATCTCTGTAGCCAGTTTATGGGGTGCCATAGTCAACCCAGAATATGTAAAGCACTCTAAGGCTACATGCAAGGATCAAATACCTATTTGGATTGTTGAGCCTCACCATATCACACTCCCTACTTGCAAGGTTCTTTGTGCAGGTACATCTATGTCAAAATAGGAGAAAGGTCTGGAATGCAGGTGGTCCCTACAGTATGCACACAGTCTTCTGGTGGTATGGATGCAAATCTTACTTTGGTGGGGACAGGGACAAGGAGGCATTTTTCAACTGGTAAGCACTCAGAGGAATGCATATAAATGGTACTTGGAACTGGTCATTCCCCATCTCAGCTGCAAAGAGCTGGTCACAGAGAGGCATGCCAAAGGATCCTTGAAACCAGGGGAGGGCAACCTTTGGTTCTCCAAACGAGGTGGGACTCCAGCCAAAGGTCAGGGCTGATGGGAGTTGAGAGTATAACATCTGAAGGCACACAGGTTACCCACTGCTGCTGTGAACTATTAAGGGTGGAAAGCCCCACTTGCAGGCTGTGTGCAGGGAGAAGTTGTGTAACTGCTCTTGGAAAACCCCAAGCCCCATTTCCCCCTCTCCATAGGGTCAATTAAAACTGTGGGGGAACAGAACTCTTTAGCAGGGTAAGGTGAGGAAGCAACTGAGGAAGAGGGGAGGCTCAAGGCAGAAAGAAAGAATCCTATTCTGTGCCCTGCCTTTCCTCATCCGCTGCGGACAATGTTTATTTTATTTAATTTATTGAATTTATATACCGCCCTATACCCAGAGGTCTCAGGGCGGTTCATAGAATAAAATCAAAATATAAAAAAACAGAAAAGAGATAATCAAAATAAAAACAACAACCCAATAAACCCTCCCAATAAAACCCACATTTTAGAAGGTCATAGGATGTCAATCAAATCAACCAAATGCCTGATTAAAAAGGAACGTTTTTGCCTTGTGCCTAAAGGTGTATAAAGAAAGCGCCAGGTGAACTTCCCTGGGGAGAGCATTCCACGAATGGGGAGCCACTACAGAGAAGGCCCAGTCTCATGTTGCCATCCTCCAGACCCCTCGAGGAGGAGGCACATGAAGAAGGGCCTCAGAAGATGATATCAGGGTCCAGGTAGGTTCATATGGAAAGAGGCGGTCCTTGAGGTATTGCGGTCCTGAGCCATTTAAGGCATTATAGGTCAAAACCAGCACTTTGAATTGGGCCCAGAAATCTTTACACAATTGCAGAAGGGAAATGTTTAACTCTTCTGTTAAAACACATCACTAAGCAAATCTAAACCCTGTCCAAATGAGATGCAAAAGAGGGGCAAACTGCAGCATATAATTAGTCAAAAGCAGATAAGGAACCAAGGGTCACCAACCCCTTGCAATACAGGAATCACAACTAAAGAAACTCTGAAAGACAGCCATCCAACCTCTGCTTAAAAACCTCCAACAAAGGAGAGTCCACCATCTCTTGTGGGAGTCTGTTCCACTGTTGAACAGCTCTTACTTTCAGAAAGTTATTCCTAATGTTCAGTATCAAACACTACCAAGGGGTTGATTGAGCTGAATCAACAGGGTAGCACTCTATGATAAAGGTCAATAACTAGGATGGACCAAGGCTGTTTCAGTGCCATACCCAGGTCTGAAGCCAGGCAGAAATTGGTCTAGATAATCCCTTTCACCCAGGCACAGCTGCAGTTGGCCACTCTCAATTACTTTGCCCAACGTTAATATTATAATACATAGTATTATGCTAATATTGAAATGAAAACCTCATTGTACAGCTGTATCCTCTAGCCACCTCTGCTGTAATCTATATCAAGGTGCTACAGCTATCCTGTCAGGTACACAAAAACATCCCAAGTATCAATACCACGGCATATTTTGAAAGAAGGCACCACACAAAAGCTTCCTCATACCAAAGGAAATGAGCCTTTGCTGGTACGTTTATATTCAATAAATGCCTCTGCTTCACCTTGGCACTTATCCAGCAGCAGAGACTATTATCTGGTGACAATGCTTTCCGCCATTGACACTATCTCCTAAATAATACAAAGAATTGACATGATAAACCGTAATGGCTCCTGTATGGTGTCAGCCCACAGCACTGAGACACTAATGAGGGGGGATCTTTGACAAGATGCCTCATAATGGCACCCAAGGATTATAATCAATGCTCCTTGCACCAAGATGAGTCCTGCTGCTTACTGGACTGTTGCTCTAGCCAATCATTGAAAAAATCTCGTCTAGATCAACTATAAAATGGATCTAAGAATACAGTAAGCAAATCACTGACGGAATACGAACCCCAGGAGTTTACAAATGCATATACTTCAAATACTAACATGGAGTGGTTTCATTTCAAACTGAGCAAATATTGAAAAAAATTAAGATCTGGAATTGAGAAACAAAAAATGTAAGCAGGACCGCCCTTTCAAGCGAAGTGTAATGAAGATCTGTTCCCATCACATTTCTATTATGATGAATTAAAAAATCAGTTCACATGGAGATAAATATGGAGAGTGGAACAGTCTTCATACTTATTGGCATTTTTAAAGCACTTTTCCTGTTGACTTACAGGTTGTTTTTAAACAGATCTTTTTGTGGGCTGCTTATTTACCCATTATTGGAGAGCTGCTCTGATTTTATCAGAAGTTGCAGGTTTTTACTTTTGTTGAGAACCATTTCTGGTGATGTCCGAATAGCAAAGAACGCAGCAGACATTTAAAAATAAAATTAAATAAAACATAATAATAATAATAAACATCTTAAAGAGGAAACCATAGCCTTCATAGTTTCAAAGCAAGAAACCTGCAGGATGAATTCCTACTTCGATGAAACTTTCCTTCTGGAAAGGGCCACGTATATTACTGTATTAAATATTTTTCACATTATTGTAAGCCACTAAGAGAACTTTGTTTTCAGCCAGCATATAAATATTGTTTAAAAAAATTATAGGACCCAAAAATGTTCTAAAAAACAAATCCTGGAAACCAGTCATGTTATAGGTAAGAAGCCAGTGCTGTTTCACACCCCGCACCACTGGCTGAGGTTCTAGAGAGGGACCTTTGCTGCCTGCCCCCCAAGATATTACATAAGTAAGAGAGTTACCTGCTTCATTTCTTGTGGCGTGTATAACATGGTTCTGATTATCATCACCCTATCCAGAAGATCCAGAGGTATCCCATGAGGAGAGATTATATCTTCTGTACCTCTGCAAGGATATAAAGGAAAGTTCAGGTTTATATTTATTTATCACCTTAATAGGCTTGCTGGTGGGAAGCTTTTCTTCTAACATTCAAAGCAACACACTAAGAAATTATATTGGTTGGTGATGGCTTACGTCGCACTGTCCTAAGAGGCAGACTTTGACATACCTCTCCTGAAGAGTGGCTTGTATTCTACGTAAATGAGCTAGGCAACAGAAAATCTGGATTCAAGAATAAGCTTGGTGAAACTCTTTGTCATCACAAGGTACCTTAATTTGCAATCTTAGTGCAAATGCTGTGAAGTATTTGACTGATGAACACTCCTGCCTTCCACTCCCACCAATATATTGTATCTATGTAAAACAAGAAAATGACTTTGCCCTTTTAAAATGTGGTTTGTTTTTTTTTGGGGGGGGTTATTGGGTTGCTGTTTTTATTTTGATTATATATTTTGTGGTTTTATATTTTGATTTTGTTCTGTGAACCGCCCTGAGACCTCCAGGTATAGGGCGGTATATAAATTCAATAAATAATAAATAATAATAACAATATCTTCTGTTCTCCATTAGAGGGCACTCCAGTTTCATCTAAAAATATTTCTTATTCAGGCGATTACTAGAAAATCATGATCCTACTCAGTTGTGGTATATGAGGAGCAGAGGGGAGGGATGAGCAGAGCATAGGAGTAGAATGTTAATCTATTCCCCCCCCTCTAAATAATAGCGGCTTCTATTTCTAATAATAGAATAATGAACTCAAAATTCTTTCAACACGACATGAAAGACCACTGATACAATTTTAGTCCTGGTTCATAGGAAACTTCTGCTTTCACTGCACGGGGCCAAAATATCTTTTGCAAAAGCCGAGGAAAGATTGGGTGTGATACAAATTGTAAGGAGGAAGACCGGCTAAGAGTCTACCGATAACACTGTGAGCTGATGAGGAGAAATCACCCAACAATTACCAGAAGCAGACTGTTCTTTAACTTTGAGAAGTTCATTTTTGAAAACTCTTCTACTGTTACCTGGCCTAAGGAGAAACATATTGACAAGATGACTGGAGGTGTTTATGGTGTGGCAGGCCTTAATTCCAAGTATCTGGAGACAACACTACTGCACAGTAATTTAAGTTTATTAAAAATCTATAGCATGCAGAGCATAAAGTGCAAGTAAGGCAAGAGAAAAAAAAGTGGACTGGGTCTCTTCTCCACTAAGATAAGAGAATGGATCTGGGCATGTTCTTTTCTCTACCATCCTCAACCCTTTCATCCAAATGTACTGACTAATATTCTGATTTGTGGATATTAAATCCCTTCCCCAAGCGTCTTAAAAGTGGTTGGCTAAGTGGTTTAAAACAGAAAATAAATAGTACATATTCATAAATTCGCTTGCTTTCCTGCACCCTCCCCTCGCCCCCAATAGTTGCTCAATGTTGCTCAATTAAGGGAATGGGATGGGAAACTGGGGGGGGGGCACTACAGTGGGACAAGTAAATTGGTAGAATTTGCCTTGTGGAAGAATCTTTCCACTTGCACAAGACACTTTTGGATCTAAGCCAATGTCTTCTGCACACAGGTTGCAGAGCAGGTGCCCAAGCTTGTATAAAATGTTGGTGGGCAGCAAAGAATGTGGACATTCAAGAAAAAGCCCGTACTTAATTCTTAGAAGTCCCTTATACACTGGCAGGGCCCTCCCTCTTCAGCAAATATAGGTGTGTGTGAATCATGCAATAGTGGAAGGCTTTACAGACATGTGGACTAATGCTGCTTTGAAATAGCTATTCTAAACATTCGTCTCTCAGAGGTATTTTCTGTCCTATATGTATATGCAAGTGTGAGAGATGCATTTCCCATCCCAATTGAGTGCCAGAAGGGGCAAGTCCCACCATTTGAAATGTTTTCTGTGGCAAATTGCTAGCAGTAGAGGAAAGAGAAACCCTCAATGCCTGAGAAATCGTCATTTTAATTATTTTTTCAATTTATATCAAGACAAGCACAATTTATTCCATTGTCACTGTTTTACACAATGTGGATTTTGTTAGCTGCCTAAGAAACGGTGAGATGTGTATTTAATAAGTGAAATAAACCAAGTTTCAGGAAAAAATGCTGTAAGCAGACTATGAAGTGACACAAGAAGTAGACAACAGTAATGAATAGGGATGAATCTTTGATGAGTACAAGTAGTCTATTTAAGTAAAGGCAGAAATAGCAGTAATACCTGAAAGCCACCAGTCTAGCATTTAGCTGTTAACAGGATACAAGATGGGATCCAGCTAAACTATCAAAAGGGAAAGCAGGTAGTGGCGTTGCTATTATTATTTCTAAAGCACCAAATGCTTTTTTAAGTGCTGGAGCAAAAATCAATAAACAAAAGTCATTGCCCACCCGAAATCTAATGAACATGCTACAAAAAGAAAAAGAAAGGAAATATTTAAACAAGACATTTGTTTCTTTTTATTAAGGAAATGACGTTGCAGGATTCTTTTTATCCAAGTACAATATGTAAACTTGTTCACAGCAAAGCAGTGCAGCTCAAAGCCGTTTGGAGATACAAAACCTAGTCCAAATTATTAAAAGAAGACAGATCACCTCTGAGGGTGATGGTGCCGTTCTAAAAAGAAACCCGACTGTATGGGATGAAAGATGAGCAAGTGCAAAGACTGCCAACAGTATAGCCATATAGCTACAGTGCTAAGGGGGAAAAAAAGATATGAACAAGCGGTATTTGAAACACTATGGGGAAGACAAGGAAAGCAACAGTAAAGGAACAGATCTAGGGATGCGCAAAGGGGGAGGAAAAAAAAATTAAGATCCTGAAAAACCTGACTCTAAAGCAGTGTTTCCCAACCTTTTTTGGGCAAAGGCACACTTGTTTCATGAAAAAAATCTCGAGGCACACCACCATTAGAAAATGTTAAAAAATTTAACTCTGTGCCTATATTGACTATATAAAAAGTACAGTGGTGCCTCGCAAGACGAAATTAATTCGTTCCGCAAGTCTCTTCGTCTTGCGAGTTTTTCGTCTTGCGATGCACGGTTTCCCATAGGAATGCATTGAAAATCAATTAATGCGTTCCTAGGGAAACCGCCTTCAGACCAGGTCCGGGGACAGTCTGTCCCCCGACCTCTTCTGAAGGCTGGGGGGGGGGGACAAGGGCTTTTCTTCCCACTGCCAGCCTTCAGAAGGCTGTTCTGAAGGCTGGCGGTGGGAAGAAAAGCCCTTCTTCCCACCTCCCGCCCCGCAAGCTCCGGGGACAGGAGGGCTTTGCTGCCGACCGCCAGCATTTTAAAAGCCCCTGCTGTCCCGGGGCGATTTTAAAATGCTGGCGGGCGGGAGCGAAGTCTCCGCTGCCCCGAGGAGATTTTAAAATGCTGGGGGTCGGCAGCGAACGCTTCGCTCCCGCCCGCCAGCATTTTAAGATCGCCCGGGGCAGCGGAGAAGTCTCCGCTGTCCCGGGAAGGCAGGCGGGGGGAGCAAAGACTTTTGCCCCCGCCTGCCTTCAGAAGAGGTCCAGGACCTCGTTCCGATGCCCGGCGGCGGGGTGCGAGGTTCCCGCCCCACCGCCCGGCATCGGGGCATCGTTCCGATGCCCGGCGGCGGGGTGCGAGGTTCCCGCCCCCCCGCCCCGCTTCGGAGCACCGGGAGAAGCGATCTCCCCGCAGCCCCTTGCTTCAAAAGAGGTCCGGGGGCAGCGGGGAAGAAGCGCTGCGCTTCCCGCTGCCCCCAGACCTCTTTTGAAGCAAGGGGCTGCGGGGAGATCGCTTCTCCCCGCAAACCCTTGCTTCAAAAGAGGTCCGGGGGCAGCGCGAAGCGCTTCCCGCTGTCCCCGGACCTCTTTTGAAGCAAGGGGCGGTGGGGAGAAGCGATCTCGGGCGCCGCGGCGCGCAGGCGCACTGCTCGCTCCTCTTTCCGCGCAGGCGCCTTCTCTCGCTCTTTCGCCTCCTTTTCTTTCTCTCTCGATGGTCCGCCTACAAAGGAGCGAGGGAGGCGCCCGCCATGTTTGGATTTGCATCCAGCAGGAGATGCCACCGCCGCCCCGCCTCTCCCGCCTCCCTCCCACGGCACACCAGGCAAGGTCTCACGGCACACTAGTGTGCCGCGGAACACCGGTTGGGAAACACTGCTCTAAAGAAACTTACTAATTCTTGGTCATCGCAGTGTGAAGGTTTTTCCTGCAGTGAAGCCCTTAAGCAGCCCTGCAGCAACAGATATGGTTGTGACCCATCAAGATGATTATCACAGGTGTATCAGCACCACGGATAAAAAGCTCCCAAAGATCATAGCTCTTTGTGCTGAAGCAGCTAACACTGAGGCTTATGGGAAGACGAGAACCATGCAGGACTAAGCTTTAAGCACTGTACCTGATTACACAGTTCCCTCGGTTGGAAGCAAAGATGACAATCGGAGCAATAGAAGATTCCAGCGCTCGGTGCAAATATGTGAAGCACTCAATATCCAGCATGTGAACCTCGTCCACAAAGAGAACTCCGGGGACTAACTCAGCAATGCCTTGATCAATGTATTTATTCACCACCTTGTTGATCTCTCCTCGAAGCTTGTCTAAGGGAAAGATAAAGGTTAACAACCTGATTTATTTATAATGAAAGCTCCAAGACAACTTACAATAAAAGAGCGGCCCCTTTTGCACCAACTTATTAGTATCCTTTTTTGGATACTAATACACACAAAAATCTTATTACATAAGGAAATTTAAATTAAATTAAACTCCTTTAAAATGGATGAGGCTGAGACAATGGTTTTGCATAATTATGGATTCAAGTCAATCATTACTCAACTGCTTATTTTTGGATGGAAACCAATCATATTAATGGCTTTTTCACATTCAATATTTGTAAATATTGCTGTTTTGTCCCAAGATTGCACCAGGTTTTCTTAAAAAAACCACAACAAATATATTTCCAGGATTTGATGTTTTCAAAATGCTGGATGCTGAATGTAGGGCACATGCTATACTGCTCAACTTTGTATACAAAATTGTAGGTCAATAAATGTAAAACATACTATGAATAAAGCTTGTTTAACGAGTGTAAGAGTGGAGTAACAGCTGATGCAGTGATGCCTGTTCTGCTGGTGCCCCATTTGAGGAAAGGAAGCAACACCACCAGATTCTGATCAATACTCACAAGTACCAACCAGACGCCCTATGTAGCACTTCTCAAGTGTTACACATGAGTAGTCATTGAACTGCTGGAATACAATATTCCGAAACCCATTCAACTTTAGCAGCACTGTGTAATGCACATCACGCTTCCTGTACATCCTGACTATCCTTCCTTCTGCCTTGCTGAAAGTTTAAGGATGCAATACTATACACCCAAGTCTCACCATGTTCAGTGGGACTTACTTCCATATAAGCATAAGGGTCAGGCTGAAAGTGAGACAACTATTGTACCTGTGATTTCAGTTTTCTTAGGCTTCATCAACTGTCCCATCATGGAGAGGATATCCTGCCCACCCTAAAGAAAACAAATTTGAAAATTAAGGTTGTATCTTTTTTTTGTTACTGTACAGAAAAAGCTATGAAAATTTAATTTGGTCAAACTAAAAATCAAGGGTTGAATTCAAGGTAGCATTAAGCAGATCTCCTCCCCTGACATAACCTGTGTGTCCCCTAAATCTGTTCTGGGCAGATCTGCAGATGGCACAGAGCACCTATGGAGGGATGGAGCAGCAAATCCTGTTGTTCTAGTGCTAATTTTGCCCTGTTGAATATGGCCCATAACTCTTATTTCAGTTTTCTAAAACAACATTGGAGTTTCTAATATCAGACAACTACTTTATAAATTCACCACTTTTGCATTCTAAGCATAGTACATTAGTATATATATATCTGTTAAGCCTCCTTCTTTATGTGCACTTTGGAACATGATGATGCCATTTTATACAGGTCTCAGTAAATTTTGCAACGTTTCAGAACAATAAAATTACTCAAGGAAAATACATGTATGGAAATTATATCAGTTGCAAACATGTTTTTATAATCCTTTGCTAGTTGAGAACTTGGAATTTTGTTTTCCTTCGCTATATAATTTAAAAAATCTTACATGCATTGTTAAACAAGAAAATGCTTGTTTTAGTTTTACACAGTATATTCTGTAATATTTCAACTTGGGAAGTTGATGGTCTTTAAAATTATTTTTTAAATGTTTTAAAAAGTTTTAGAAATAAGTATTGTTAACATTAAGAGTTAGGAGGTATTTCAGCCAGCCAGAAATAATCACACCCGGGAAAACACATCCTTTGGATTAATTTCATGCTATGTACCAGCTATATGAATTAACACTACAGCATGTAGTCACCATTATTTGGCTAGCATAGCAACCCTTCCTCATGTATATATACCATGTATCTATACCATGTATATATTATATACTCAATGTGGAGATATCAGTTCATACAATTGGCATTTCTACACAACACCCAGGAGCCTAATTTTATTTTGATGAGGGCACTTATTTTAAAATAAAGATGAATATTTGTGTGTGGATATGCTGACAATGTTATTGTGAGCATGGATGACATTCTCCAACTGAAGACTGCAATAATCAAGCTTGCATGAACATAGCCTTGTTTAACCCTCAGAACTGACTTGCTGCAATTGGAGAGAGATTAATCTGTTTGCAGCTGCAAACACAAAAAGCCTTCACTGTAACGCAGTGGGGACTTTAAGAACTTACCTAACATATTGGAGCATACATACAGAACTTCTCTAAGCTAAGAGACAAATTGAAAGGGCCATACAGTGGTACCTCGTGTTACAGACACTTCAGGTTACAGACTCCGCTAAACCAGAAATAGTACCTTGCGTTAAGAACTTTGCTTCAGGATGAGAACAGAAATCGCGCGGTGGCGGCGGGAGGCCCCATTAGCTAAAGTGGTACCTCAGGTTAAGAACAGTTTCAGGTTAAGAATGGACCTCCAGAACAAATTAAGTTCTTAACCTGAGGTACCACTGTATACTGAGGGGAGCTGACAGTACAAATTCTCATAAAAGCAACTTAATCTGTCCATGGGCATTTAACAAAAACTGGATAGATCCATTAGATATTTCCAAAATGTATCTAGACACCCTGAGTGTAAAGCAGATTAACAATTTTAACAATGTGTCAAATACCACACACAGAAAATGCTTTTGCCAAAGGTTTTAGGAGTTCTCTATATTCCACGTCCCTGCATGACAGGTATCAGCTTGAGTCATTGATCCCTGGCAGAGTTGCAATATTGACTTTCCTGCTATGTGTGCGCCTTAACGACTTTTCAAGTATTCACTTTTCAAAACCATGTAATTTGAGTTTAAAAGAAGACAAAAAACTTTTCTGGCTACTTGTTATTAGAACCAGTAAAAGAACAGACCCCCTATCTCATGGAATATGTTTACATTTTAGTTACACTATCATATCTTTGCCTGTAGGTTCAAAAAGCCTCCCTGTACTAAAATATGTATACAGTTTAGGATGCAGTAGAAATTACTGGTAAAAGGCAGTGAATATTATTAGCACCAAAAATGTTTTCCATTTTCTTCATTGACCTACATGCAATAACCACCCTCACTAATTCCCCCAAAACAAGGTTGGTGGTTTTTAAAACTTGCAAATATTGGAAGTCAAAAACTCTTGGAGATGGCTGCAAATCATCCACAGTTCTACTGGTAGATCCTGATCCCTGTTTTAAATGAGTTTGTGTGTTTCAGGAAAGCCTGGCTTACTCCATACTGAAGCAACAAGGAAAAATAATGGATAGAACTGTGACAGTACTCCTTGACCCCAGGTGCTGGCACACTTAAAAGGGAGGCAGATACCTATTGTTAGATTTTTAGTGGATTGGTCCAGATTTCTTCCGAGGAAAATTCCACTCAATTCTTGCTGATAGAATTCCTTTCCCCTGCAATCCCATCTGCCCCCTGAAAATCTGCTCCGGAGGATTGTGGGAGAGCCTCTGTAACAGCGTGGGGGGTGGTACAGAGGGTTGCAGAGCGGAATCCACTGTCTCTTCCCTTCTTTCCTTAGTGGGAGCCTTTGCAGGACTGCTGCCTATCCTGCAAAAGCAAGACTTCCTTTTCTTCACAAATCTGAAAGTCTGAATGCTTCTGTCAGTATAGTTGAATACCTGAGGTCTAGCATTGGCCACATCCAAGTCATGAAGAGTTACATCCTGGATAATCTCTTTCTTCTTGTGCACATCACCTTTTGGCAAAGGAACATACTCTTCAGCCTCAAGGTCAAACTCTGTTGCATAGGTGTCACACCTGCCTTGCCTCTGCGAAGAGGAATTTAGAAATCACATACACTATATTTATAATTAATGTTATTGCTAATATTGAAAATGACATACAGCTGATAAACAAAGGTCTTGTTTTACAGTGACAACCCCAACAGGCTTCGTTTGACAGTTTTGAAAATGCCATGCTTGTCCTTGGAAAAGGAACGACTGATCAACCTATGAAATCGTACTGAAAGCACCTGGTATTTTCTCCATTCTTCTGAAAGAGCGAAACTCTTGCTAAAGGACAAATCCAGCAGATTAGCTGGAGATTGGAGAAACTGTCCTAGACTTCTTGGGACATAGATGATTTATTGTATGATACAAAATATTATGCTCATCCATTAAACACCGAGTATCTCCCTAAACTACATTTTAAATCAGATACAAAGAACATGCTAACTAATGCAGTATTCCCTTCTAGATGCATATATCTTATGGCAAGAACACCAGGAAGATAAAAGATTAAAGGCTCTATACATTTCTTTTTAGTACGACTAGTAATTTCAGGTCTTTTCTCTTCACTTATATATCATATATGAACACGAACACACACAAGCATGAAGTTAAATATTAAAATGAATGACAAAACATTCAATAATCATAATCATAGTAATAATTTATTATTTATACCCCACCCATCTGACTGGGTTGTGCCAGCCACTCTGGGCAACTGTAACCAGAGCTCTCAAACCAGATGACCTTACTTGTGAATCAAATGATTCCCCTTTAGAGGTGGCATTTATTTCATCAACGATCCCCTTCAGAACAAAAAACACCTCTCTCCTTTCCTGAGGAAAACCACAGCTATCCTAGAAGGGATTGATAAGGTTTTTGGGACACAGACTTTTGAAAAAAAGTTGGAAAATCCTGAACCAATACTATGTCAGAGGTTCAATGGTTGTCTTTGCTTTACCTTGACAGCTCCACTGTTTGCTTCAATGTAAATCACATCACCAGCTTCTACTCTTTCCTTCTGCAGACTTTCAAAGATGCTGGGGTCCAACTACAGAGACAATAAATAGAGGCCAACTATATTAAGATGCAGTTACAAAGAAAGAGGTTCCAGTAGAAGTGTGTTAGTTTTTATTTCTTCATATTTATTTTTCTGAGCAGCTTTCATGAGCAGAGTTCCGGCTAGCAGAACTTGTCTTAGTCTGCAGCCCACCCCATTCAGCAGAGTTCCTGACAGTACAGGGGGCTGCTGTGAGGACAGGTATGAAAGCCAGCTTGAACCAGCCTTAGTAAACATACTTAATTCTGGACTCAACGCAATGACAGACTTCCAGTTATTGCTTTTCAATGATAACAATTTGCAATTTGGTACTGTCGCATTAGGGACGCGGGTGGCGCTGTGGGTTAAACCACAGAGCCTAGGACTTGCTGATCAGAAGGTCGGTGGTTCGAATCCCCGCGACGGGGTGAGCTCCCATTCCTCGGTCCCTGCTCCTGCCAACCTAGCAGTTTGAAAGTGCAAGTAGATAAATAGGTACTGCTCCGGCGGGAAGGTAAACGGCGTTTCCATGCGCTGCTCTGGTTCGCCAGAAGCGGCTTAGTCATGCTGGCCACATGACCCGGAAGCTGTATGCCGGCTCCCTTGGCCAATAAAGCGAGATGAGCGCCGCAACCCCAGAGTCGGCCACGACTGGACCTAATGGTCAGGGGTCCCTTTACCTTTACATTTATTAAAATAGTTACGTTTTACAGTAATTCCAGTTTCACTGAAACTCAGCATACATTCCTATCTGTACTGGTAACATATCAACCAACTGAATTAGTTCTAACAGTGCAATCCTATTCAGAAGTAAGACCCATTGAGCTTTGTAGGACTTACTTCCAGGGAAGTGTGCACAGCAGTGTTGAGGATCCTGCATTCTGCCAGATGTTACTAGATTCCAAACTCTCAACAGCCCCAGTCAGTCTGGCCAGTGATTAGGAAAGACAGGAGTTGTAGTTCAACAACATCTGGAGGGCCACAGGCTTGTCACTCCTGGTGTATAGTATTGCACCCTAAGTGCTTTACAAATGGTTCTTGACCCAGACAGCTTACAAGGCAAATAACGCTTAGCTTCAGCAGAACTGCATCACCTATCTCCAAATCATTCTTGGAAGCAGGAGTGGGCAATATCTATCAATTTATGTGGTCAAGTGGCTAATGACCTAGAGCAGTGTTTCCCAACCTTGTGCCTCTAGCTGTTTTTGGACTACAATTCCCATCATCCCTTGCCACTGGTCTTGCTAGTCAGGGATGATGGGAGTTGTAGTTCAAAAACAGCTGGCGGCACAAGGTTGGGAAACACTGACCTAGAGGACCTATCAGATCATGTGGTGAAACAGAAATAGCAAAATAAATAAATTCTATTACTTAAAAAGTACCTTTAGTCAACTGTTCTCCTGCCCCTTTTACTGACGTGAGGAAGTGCTAAGATGCTGAGAAATGGGTGAGAGATAAGACCCCACCTACCTTGAGCTGCTTAGTTCCTTTTGCAGTTTTGAGTCCGATAATCACATGACTAATGGTTTTGCCATATCCTCCCATGGGGTTCTCAGTCTCACATGGAGTTAATTCTGTGACTTCACCTTCATAAACTTCCTTGGTTTCTTTAATCCTCAAGCCTGTAAAATATTGATTATATAAGCTATAAAAATAATTGCCCTTTATAATGGCCTGCTCTTGATATTTGCCACCTGAAGTCATCTTTGCCATCTCCAATACCATCAGGAAATATTTATGTAAAACCCAATAAATTTAGTAGCACTGAAACAAAAGATGAAGAAGGGCCATTTGTTACTCTACCACTTAAACGAAAACTATGTCATGAAAGAGAAAAAATCCATTACAGATTCTAGAGTTATAACCAGTAACACATATTTATCAAATAGGACATTAAAAAGACTGACAGTTTGGTTGAAAAGAACTGCTAAGTAGTTCTTATAATTGCCACCTAGAATCTGACTCTGAAAAGGCGTAAACATTAAACATTATTATTTACTAGTGGAAAATTTTTTTGTAAGCTGTTTTGTAAGCTGACTAGTAACAATGAATGAATGCCAACTGCAAATAAAATTAAGCAAGTTTGTAGTTTCAAAGTCCTTAGCTTTGTTTACTAAAATACATAGGATAAGCTTGCTAAATTAGATCAATCTACAGAGAATAAATTTTCTGATGCAAATAAAATTTTGCCAATTACCCAAATTCATATAGCAACACTTTCTGTAAACTCACATGACTATGTTGCACATGTGAAGACTTCCCTCAGGCTTTCAGATTCTGGGGAAGCTTTCCCCATCTACAACTGTCAAGACCCCCTCCAGACATTCATTCTATATGCATGGATGTTGGTGGAGGAGTGCACAGCTTTGAGGACTGGGCTATTTGTCACAACCCCACTCCCTTGCCTTGGTGTTGCTCAACAGAGGAGTAACGAATGACCAAATAAGGCTATACTCATAACCCCTTGGCACTCATTTCAGAGTCTACTGGAATGTCAAATTAACACAAATCTCTGCTATTGCAACCCTAGAAATATCCTTTTGAGAATTCTTAATTTGAGAAAGAAAATCTGGATGATTGGACAAGAATTAGAACATATTTCCATTAAGCAGAGTAGGCAGTTACCAGTTCTGAAATATGTCTGGATTGTTATAGGTATTAATGGAGAGAAAACCATTTCTCAGAGGAATGTTTTAATAACTTGGGTTAGATAAAATTCAACAGATGGGAGAAGAATTTCTATCTTTCACTAACACCAAATACTTATTTAGAAGCATCTTCATGCTGACATCCAGGGAATGTGGAGCACCAACAATGTGGCTGGCTGTTAAATTATTGCTATCTCTAAGAATGACAACATGGATGACACAGGTTTCAACTGCTGGTTCAAGTTTCCAAATCTGACAGGGAACTTCATCACATCAAGGAAATATTGCAGACTACGCTCTCTCCATCTCTCGGCTCTCTCCCCCTCGACCCTGCCAATTTAACAGTAACTTAAAGAGCACAGATGATTGAGAGTCTCTTTCTTACAGAAATCAATGGGCCACTTTTTTCAGTTGCAAGAACTGATGGAAATGTTTCTTCACCTTAATGCCATTCAATACTAAGATGAAGTCTGTGGTAAATCATGATACAGAGCCCTGGGGAATTAATGGATGTTGGACGCAGTAATAAAAACAATTAGGGTATCTTTAAGCAATCCAAAGGTCTGTAAAGGGATAGTTCTATCAGCTGTCAACAGTAAGTAAAATAAGAAGATTTTAGATGCTTAATGTTTTGCTTGCAAATCCAACTCTTCCTCTTGACAAACTGAAACAATTCAATTGATAAATCCACAAGTACTAAAGAGAAAATTAACCTAATTGAAAAGCTACTCATCTTGTTAACTACAAATACCTTCCTCTATTTTGTCCAGCATTATGCAATGAGAATGCAGAAAGGCAGAGTATCACTCTTGCACTGTTTGTGACTGAAGCAAGAGTCAACTAAAATGCCATAATGAAGAAAGCATTTATAGAGCTTATGCAAATATGCTAGCAAGAGATTCAGTAATTCTAGAGTAATATTAAAAACTGAAGCAAGATATGATTTATTAATCAAAACAAATGATAACATATATCATTTGAATTATAGAAATGATAACATATCAGTTGAATACATTCAACTGAACAACAACAACAACAACAACAACAACAGCAACAAAAATAACCTTGCATTGATAACTTATTTTCTTGTTTCAAGGTACGTACCAATTGCTCTTCTGAAATTTTCCATCAAGACCTCTGTCTTCTTTATTTCAGTAGAATACACTTCGCTTCCAACCATAGGGCAAAAGGGAACCTTACTACCCAACTCCTGAGCAATAGCCAAAGCCAAAGCAGTCTATGAAAATAAAAAGTCAAAAGACTGAGCAATTATATATTATACGGAAATCTCAAAATTTCAGAGAATTTAAAGAAATTAGACAGCCTATCAGGTTTTAAACTTAAATTTCAGTAGGCCTACACTGAGTAGGATTAACTTTGGATACAACCTAATGTTCTTGTGAGTGGAATGTTGCTTAAAGGATCTTCCCACTGGAGGAGGCAGAGGGGAGACCATTTTTGACATTTCCTCATTTTCTGTCCCGTGCAAAGCAACTCCAGGGGGGTTGAGGGAATGTTCTAGAATAGTGGAGTATTGGAGGATGCAGGGAGGCCATTTTAACAGGACCATATTTATCAAAATAGGCTAAGGAGGCTCTTGCCTAAAGATCATGATTTTCACAATATAGTACTAGAAAAGTCTACTATTTTTTCCAGAGAGATTTGCCAGTTAAATACATCCTTCTCTAGTCCGGGTCTAGATTTCTATAATTGGTTTTAGTGATGATGGAAAGTGTGTGTGTGGGGGGTGTTAATCTGCTGAGATCTGCATTTTCAAATGTTCCATGGGGGTGGAACAAGTTTAAGAACTGCTGGTTTAAAGCTTTTTAGTAATTTGTTAGTTCTAGCATGGCTCCTAAAGGCTTCTTAGAAATGTGTACAGAATTGCTGCCTAAATAAGTATCAGTAAGTATCAAATAAGTTTGTGACCCTCTAACTACTGTTAAAAGGTTGCATATTCACATAATCTTTCACCTAGGACAAGCATACTAGTTTATTTAAATATCTCCAAGGACCAAATGTTCTGCAGTAGTTTAGTTCTCCTCCCATTCCACTGACCAAATGAGTTTAGGTCTGATGCATATGTGTGTACTGTACTCTTTGCTGTACTCTTGTTGACACCTGCTGAAAACATTTGTTAGGCAAGCCCTTAAAGGCATATAAAAGTTACATGTGCCTTATTTCTTTTTAGCTGCTGTTTCTTTTAATGATCTTTTGAATATCTTAACTTTTGTGATATTGTTAATATTTTATTTATTATTAATATTATAAATAATATTGTTTATTAGTGTATTTCTGTAAACCAATTGAAGATCTTTTTTTTTTACAAACAATCAGCACATAAATTCTGTAAAATAAAGTATGTATAAGCACAAATGTACAAGCTACTGGGAAGTAAAAGGTAAGGAAAATGATCCCTGGACAGTTAAGTCTAGTCAAAGGCAACTATGGGGTGTGGCACTCATCTTGCTTCAGGCCAAGGGAGCCAGCATTTGACACAAGCATTTGACATAAAACATACCTTTCCAGTTCCAGGAGGTCCTGCCAATAGCACAGCTCTGCCAGCCATCTTCTTGCTTCTGATCAATTCTACAATAACACCACAAGCCTAAAACATTAAAATACTAGTGTTATAGATACTGGAGGGTTTGTGGTTTGTTTGTCTTTTGCTTTTTAAAGTCCTTGTTGAGATTAGGAACAGAAGGCATTTGCAATAGCATAGGACACTTATCATTTCACAAATACAACAGCTATATATAATTTTCTGGCTTGTTTGAGTAAATCTACTCAATATCTTGCACAATCACCAGTTTAAAATGATGAAAGTGAGGGATTTAGCCAAGATTTCCCACCAAGCTTGTATTGGCAGAAGAAAAATGAGAACTTCAGAGCGCTCTTCTTTTTAGAAAGTTTCTTATTAACAGCTCACCTGATGTTGAAATGGCTAGTTTGCAGACTGGTGGAACGTTCAATGTACTAACACTAATTTTAAAATGTAGGCATGTCCACTCAGAAGGGCCACTGTGTTCAGTGGGGTTCACGGTTTCAGGTTATATCTTTATATATATATATGTCTCTGAATTCAATACAAACCAAAGAAATATGAACTCTGAAAAGGCCTTGTCTTTAATACAGTTCTAAGCTACGGTAAGCACCAAATTTTAGGAAGCTGATGAAAGGTGTGCAGCAAGGCTGCAGATGCAGCTATGGCTTTGATGCTCCATAAAGCCCAGCCAGTCAGATTTGCCCCTAATAATGACAACATGGAGAAGCATGTACATTCCACCTTGAAGGTGGAATAGAAGTGTAAGAATAAACAAACACAAATAAGCTACATCTCCAATGATACACCATGAACTTCTGATGTTATGTCTATCTGACAAGCAACTGCTCAGTTTGATCTCACTTAAGAAAGACCCAAAATTAATATCCTTGAACTGAAGCAGATTTAGGTTAAGCATACAGCAGAGATTCCAAGCTCTGTATGAAGATCCCCTTCCTAGAATAGCCACTTATTTCATAGTTTATGAAAAAGTTACACAAGCAGGGATATAGGATGACTAGCAGTTCGTTGAACCTAATCTGATTTTGTGTGTGGGGGGGTGAAACTTGTGACCCTGCATATGTTGTTGGCCTCCAATTCGGATCAGGCAGAGGGCCTTCTCGGTAGTGGCACCCACCCTGTGGAACGCCCTCCCACCAGATGTCAAAGAGAACAACAACTACCAAACTTTTAGAAGACATCTGAAGGCAGCCCTGTTTGGGGAAGCTTTTAATGTTTAATAGGTTATTGTATTTTAGTGTTCTGTTGGAAGCCGCCCAGAGTGGCTGGGGAAACCCAGCCAGATGCGCGGGGTATAAATAATAAATTATTATTATCATCAGCACCAGCCACAGCATGATGTGCACAGTAGCCCGTGAACATTCAGGGGTCTCTCCGTGGCTTAGATCAGTGTTTCCCAACCTTTTTTGGGCAAAGGCACACTTGTTTCATGAAAAAAATCTCGAGGCACACCACCATGCCAGATGGGGAAAGGTCACTTTTTACTTATGTAAAAAAAAAATAGTAACAGCATAGAAGGTAATGGTTAGGCTAGCATCCCTCTTCCAAATATGCTAGGTTTTTATTTGCAGGGACTGTTCTACATGGGAAAGCATTCAGCACTGTCATTCTCCCATCTGCCATCTGAATTGGTACTATTCTGGGTCAACTTACTCTGCTGCATGTGTAGATGAAAATGGCACCAAGTGTGGGGGAGGGGGCAGAACAGGTTTCAGATACAGGATATTAAGCATACACGTACTTCAGATTGAACTGGTTGCTTGCTTTGCAAGTTTTCATTTCCCAAATGACTGCCTTGGCAAGCGCAATACCTACCAGGCTCAAGGCCGGTCTCGCGCTGCCGCTTCCCGCGCTCTCAAGGACCCGGGAGGAGGAAGGCGTGAAGGGAATCCCGAAGGCGCGAAAACCTCGCGCATGCGCAGGCCTTCCGCCTGCGACAGCCCAGTAGGCCGGCCGAAGCGAGCGGCGATGGGATGTGGGAGGGAGGGAGCTCGCCGCCCCGCGTGTGCCTATGTGGGGCACGTTACAGCCCCGTGACGTCAGCGCCACGCAGGCAGCCAGGCAGGCAGACGGCGAGAGCCCCGCGCTGGGCGGCCTCTCCTCGCCGCCGCCGCCCTGCCTCTCGCCGCTCGACTCGCCCGCCTCCCTCCAGGCAACATCTCGCGGCACACCAGGCAACGTCTCGCGGCACACTAGTGTGCCGCGGAACACTGGTTGGGAAACACTGGCTTAGATAAACTCTCCTAAAGCGATTTTTTGGGGGGTGGGGGCCACTCCTAACTTTCGATCTGCTTGACCACGCTCGTCTCAAACCACAACTTATTTCATGGCTTGAAACGGAACAAGAAGCGAAGGTGCATCCCCACGCCTTATGGCTCTCTTTCGGCTGCCGTCTTTCCCCCTCAGGGGTTGCACAGCGGCACCAGCGCCTCCTTAGGGAGACGACGGGCCCAGGGAGCTCCTGCCCGTCGCCTCCGAGCCCGAGGATAGGACAGGCCGTGACGCGGCCGGACGGGGTCATGGAGCCCGGAGCGCCGCCAGCGCCGCCCTCACCTCCCGCGCGTTCTCCTGCCCGACCAGCCCGGCCGCCGCCGGCTTGGCTGCCCCGCTGTCGTCCAGCCCCAGGCCCTTGACATGGCTGTGCGCGGCGATGCGCTGCGTCTTCGACGTGCTCTTCACTTCCTCGATCTTCATCCCGCCGCTGGCGACCAGAAGCAAAGGAGGCCCCGGGAAACTCAGCCCGCCGCCTTCTCCTCCTCCTTCTTCTTACCGGCCGCACACGCAGTTAACATGCGGCACCCGCGCGTTACCAAGGTTCCCGGCGCTCTGCCGCCTTGTCCTTGCCCCCGTTCAAATAACTGGATAACGGGAGCGAACTCTCGCTTGCCATTGGGCAAATCTGCTGTCAATCAGAGGTCGTAGTTTTCTCCCCCCTTTAGGCACCGCCCAGGCAATTCAGTTTAGTGCACCTTCGAAGACGCTCCGGTTTCACCCGGCAGTTGTAGAAATAGAGTACCGGCAGAGAAGGGTTGCAGCTGGGAAAGAGCCCCCGGAATTTTTGTATGGCTCGTTGTTATTTTCTGGCATTTTAGCAATGCAGTACTACTGCTGATCAGTATGTGATCTTCGGGTGCAGGGCGGTATATCAATCTAATAAATGATAATAACATCATAAAAAGGATATCATTAGTATTTACAGGGCAGAGTCCTTTTCCTTTGGAGTTAAAGCTACAGGAGTGAAGAAACAACGAGGATTGTATCGTGCGCCCTTTCTTCATGGACGTCGGGATGTTGTTTCACACAACAACACTGTGAGAGAGGTTGGGGCTGACAGATGGTGGCATCCTAAGCCATCCTTAATAGCTGAGCAATTAACCTGAGTTTTCCACACTTAAGCCTCTACTTTGTAATCACTCCACCACACTGCCTCTCAATCTGATACCAGATCTCTAATCATTAAAAATATCATCCACACACAAAGGAGTGTCCTTTTGATATTCAGGACTTGTTCACAATGTCTTTCCATTTGACTACTGGAATTCTTTGTGTGTGAGGCCTTCAAGCAAATTTGACTCAAAAAGTTAGTCTTAAAACTCAGAAAATGGAGGAACTATTTTCTTTCACAAGTCACTTATTAATATTTCCTTCCAGAATATCCCTTTTATTATTTATATGCTAATTATTACTTTATTGCATGTATGATCGAGACAGTCAGATCTTTTTTTTAAAAAAAAAACCTGTTCAAGGGTTTAAAATGCAGCTCAAGAAAAAGAAAAGGGATCACTCAAGCAAACTAAAGCCTGACAGAAAAACTAAAAATCCCCACTTTGTAGGATACTGCCTTCAGTAGTTACCACCTTTTCTTAGGCATATATGGATTTCTTAGGACTGTTTCAGAGTTTATGTTGGGACTCTGAGCACACAGCAGTAGAACTTGGATCAATAGCTCTACTTGTGAATGCATTTGCCCAAGGTAGTATCTATACTAGTTCTTCCTACAGTCCTCTTATATTTAGTCATGGAAAAAATAAAGTGGCATCATAATTCCAAATGTAGCAGAAAATGATATGAAACTGGTGCAACAAATAATTATTTCTTATGGCACTATTAGGTGAATCCCATTTTGGAAAACTTATGAGACGTGTTGGAATGCATTGAGTTGTAATAAATTAAATAATTTTGAATGCACTTGTAGTTGCTAGTCTAGTTCATGGTCCTCTTTGGACATGTAAAGAAATACACTTCAGGTTTCAAACACTTCAGGTTACAGACTCTGCTAACCCAGAAACAGTACCTCGGGTTAAGAACTTTGCTTCAGGATGAGAACAGAAATCGTGCGACGACAGTGTGGCAGCAGCAGAAGGCCCCATTAGCTAAAGTGGTGTCTCAGGTTAAGAACAGTTTCAGGTTAAGAACGGACCTCCAGAACGAATTAAGTTCTTAACATGAGGTACCACTGTACCTGTGAAGAATGGTTGAAAAAATTGTGAGACATTGCTATAAATCTTCAAATGCATTTGAATGACTTAATGAAATATATTGCTCCAGAAGATCAAAAGGACATAACTTGGACAAGTGCTTACAATGGTCAAAGACTAAATACATTTTAAAAAATAAATGGACCATGCTGTGCAATACTATATTTACTAATTAATCTTACAAACTTGTTTATTTAACTTATTAGACACTTATCTAACACGGATCCATGTAAAGGGCTGTATGGATCACAGGTACACAGCATGAACCTATGCATGTGTACTGATTTTCAGTTATTTGGAAATTACTCTCATGTAAGTGTATAGGATTGCAGTTTCATATTGCTTGCACTTTCCTAAACAAAACTGATTTATCCAGTGTGTCAATGATAAGTCCATTTTATAGCGATGATTTCTTCATGTTACTGCTATCACATACCCTCCAACATTTCTCTGATGAAAATAGGGATGTCCTTTTCCATAATTATAATAATAATTTTACTATTTATAGTAAATTACCCCAGCCACTCTGGGCAGCTTCCAACATATATAAAAACATAATAAAACATTAAACATTAAAATATCTTCCCTATACAAGGCTGCCTTGAGATGGCTCGGTGGCTGGATAGCTCCAAAGCTTCCAACATTTCTCCAGTGAAAATAGGGACATCTTACGTTATCCTTCAACATTTCTCTGATGAAAATAGGGACATCCCAAGGAAATTGAGGGACATTCCGGAATCAAATCAGAAACTGGGACAGCTTCTATAAATCTGGGACAGTCCCTGGAAAATAGGGACACTTGGAGGTTCTGCTATCAATAATATTGTTTCAGACCACACAAGTTATTCTTCCTTTGCAAAGTGAAGCTTTGAACAGCTTATGCAAGGACCAAAAAGAACTAAAATATAATTAAAATTAAAATAACCAACACTCCCTGCCTCGAGACATCCATTGTGTGCTTTTTTTGGTGCCTGCTTAAAACTTTTTTACTTAGGCAAGCCTATCCAGATGTGTATTTATTTCATAAAATAAAATTTATTTAATAAAATTAGAAGTTAGATGCTTTATTTCTTTTTAGCTACTGTCAATTTGATACATCTTTGAATGTTTTAGATACCTGTTTTTAAATTTATCAATAATATTAATGTTTTATTTTATATTTTTGTAAACTGCTCAGAGGCTTTTACAATCGAGTTATAACTTTTTTTGTTAAATAAAACTAACACTGATGTCTGATGCAAGTTAGCATATGTAGTTATAATACACCATCATAAAAAATACTGAAGCCTAATACTCTCCTTGCTCTTGACTGAGTATACCATTTATACTGAAGAGAAACCACGGAGGAAAGTAGGATTACCGGTACTTTAGAAGGCAAACATAAAACCATTTCTTTGCATTGTCAACACATTATTAAGAGAGGGCTTTTTTGTTTCTTTACTTAAAGCATTTAGGTATAACTCAATATTCCACTAACCAGAAAAATAATACGACTATGAAAATTTGACCTATTGGTCTTCAGGTTTAATCAACTAACTTTGCCAACTTCTCGTATGCTATTTTCTGTTCGTACCAACCCATGGGGTGGAGGGGAAGGAAAAGTTGTCTGAACAGCCAGTCTGCTTTTTAGCACAGACGTCATGTGATACCCAAGGAGGGAGCTGGAGACTTCAGAGTAGTTTTTTTTTTAATAGACTAAACGTTTGAGATTACAGGACGTAGCCTAGTTTCACATAAGCTTCCAAATTTCAGTGGGACATGCTGAACCCTGAAATTGTCAAATAGTATATTATTTTTGGAGAGAGGAAAATGTGCAAGTCTGTGAATGACCTTTACATTTTTAACCCATCCCAAAGGTCTGACTTCCTGCCCTTGCTCCCATGAGGTTTTGTAAACTCTAGCAATTAATAGCAACATTTTGTGAAGGAGCAGTTTAATGTATAGAAAAGGAAATTGGAGCAATGGGTGTTACATCTAATTAACAAAAGAGGGGAGAAATGTTTTTGTGCCCTCTTCTGTTTCTTTATTTATGAAGTGCAAAGGGTTGTATTTTTGTAACCTTACCAATTCCAAGTTGGGGGTTATTCCCCACCCCACATACAGGGGTAACTTTCCTGGAGGTCCAAGAAAATGAACTGGAATGTTCCCAGCCTTCTTAAAATAGGAATGTTGTATGTGTAATATATATATCTTTACTTCCAATTCAGCAACGACAATAATAATAATACAAAAAAAGGTACATTATCAATTTAATTTATTCACATTTACTAACTGCCTTAAGTTCCAGTTTAATTTTTTGAATTCAGAATGCACTTTTAATGTTCATGGGTCCTCATGCTATTGATACAATTGTGCATTTGTTTCATTTTAGCAATGTTCACCAGAGTTTCAGACAAAGTCTTCCAAACCTTACAGAAAATAAATCATAGGCCCCTGGGCCAAACCACAGGGGCCTTCCTTTTCCCAATCACAGGGTAATATAGGTCCCAGGATATGGTCTGAAGGTACATGAACCAACTATTTTTCTGGAGCTAAACAGCGCCTAAGTTAGCAACTGGCTTCCATGGTGGAAGACTGCATATAAATGAAAGAAAATGTAAAAATAAATACATAAAGTCCCCTTAGTTGGTAATTATTTGGCTTACTTGCCAGCAAATGAAAGGTTGTGAATTCATACAAATCCACTGAAGTAAAGAACTGAGGTAACGAACCTCTTATTTTCCTTTAGGTTGGCTTCTTTACCACTACTGAGCTGTTAATTTAGATATTGGCATTTTATGGATTGTTTTTCCTAGCAGTCCTTTTATGATTACTGAATTTCTTACAAATGCATGTAGCTATCCATATCTATCATCTATCTACCTATCTATCTGCAAATGTAAACAGGGGCCTATGTTCATAGGAAGGAGTACTGTTTTTGTGTTGAAGCTCAATATGCACTTAGTGGGAATTAAATGTGGTATTAAAGTTTCTAGGACAGCTAGTGGCCTAATGATTGGATAGAGGAAGGGGCGCCACTCTAGGAAGCATGGCAAACAGCAGCCACTCTTCAGCTTATTGCAACGTTGAAAACCCTTCTACGAAGCAGAAAAGATAGACTACAGCATGAGCCACCTTTTCCAAACATAACAAAATAAGGTAAGCAGCAGGCAGCCCCTGCCCAGCATGCATGCATATGCACAGTGTGGAAGAAACCCTGCCTTTTTCCTAACCTTTCTTAAAAACTTTTATAGAGGGTGGCACAGACCTCTATAAAAAGCCTTTCAAGAATGGTTATGGCCTCCATGATCTCTCCCCTCTCCTACCATCTGTAGCCTCTTCCTTTGGACCCCACACATCAGTCCCCACATAACAGCACTGTCATTATGCACTGCAT